ACCCACTGTAATGAAGATTCAAGTAACTCCTATAATCCGTGTGGAGTCAGATGTACTGTTCAAAGATGGGCATAGCCAGTACTATGCAAGATTTGGTGACAGTTATTAAAAACGTTTCTGCAAAGACTATTAAAGCATCACCATGAACTTATACTCAAACATTCTGTGGGTGCATATTCTATTGACTACCTCCCAGAATAAATGTACAAAACAGTTTGAAACATTTACAGATTTAAGAGGAAGCTTTGGTATGTTTTACATAACAAATCTAAATGTTTTTGTATCTAAAGGGAGTTAAAGAAAGAGTTTCATTAAAAGCCTAGCTATGAATTATGAAATTTCCGAGAGTCTTTGAACGCATCTGGCAGGAAGTTCAAACTTTAGCTCTCCGGACGCTGAACAACTTTTCTTAAACTGCAGACAAATGCTCCTTTGTGTTCTTTACTAAAACGCCAAAGCAAATATGGTCCAATGCAAAGGGCTAAAATGGAGACACTGTTGTGCAGGCCGTTACATTTGTTTCGGGCGTGTGGACGTAAGTTTAGTAAACGCCACGAGCGACTAACAGTTAGTGTGTCAGGGTTCAACTGTCCCCAGGTGTCCTTCATTAGGAGGAGCAATTCAAGGTGAGCCTGTATACTACACCGTCTACACGTTCAAGTAGTGCATAGGTTTTGAGCTGTTAATAGAAATGTGTGTCAGGGAGAGTGTACGGATTATTAGTCCACTTCTAGTAAATTAATGATTATTAGTTTGAGCACCATTCTTTTCCAGGTAGATGAATGATGATGATGATGATGATGATGATGGTCAAAAAGTATTCAACTGTCATTTTATTGAAAGGGATCACATTTCAATCTAGTTCTAAATATTAAATGTTGAATATAAAGCACAGGCCCCACATTTTATTCATGTGCAAGTAGTTGGGTTGAAAGTATGATAGTAAATAAACAATGAGATAATTGACAAAGTAATCAATATGTTAAAAAGAGAATAGATAAATATGATTGCCTGGATTAAATTGATATTGCTGTTCTATTTATGTATTTGTATTATTATTATTGTTGGTAGTTATTTGTACTAAATGATTAAGCATAATATAACAGACATAATAGAAAGCGTTCCTGTACTAGTTGCAATAATAATAAGATACAAGTCTTACAAATATTTTGTAAGCAAGACTTTTATTTTGTTAGTCCTAAACATTAATTCACCCTTATTTCTATTTAAGTGCGTTTTTAGTTATTTATAAAACAGCCCGCGGTCACGTGATCAGAGGGCTTTGCACCTACGTCAGAGAAGCCGAGCTGGTGCCGACTACTGATCCTCACCGTCCTGCTGCATTTAAACTCCACCACTTACCTTCTGAAAGACATCTTCCTCCAACGGCAGTGACTGTTTGACTTCCCTCTCGCTGGTGACTCAAAGGCGCATTGCACTAAAGTACAACTGCATTGGAGACGCTCAGGGAACCGCATAGCTCCTAATAATGTTACCCAGCTCGCATTAACAAGAGTATATGGCTAACGTAAACGCAACCAACATGTCTCCCCGCTAAGAAAACAACTGGTGCTATTCTGTTGCGTTCAAGTTTCCAGGTGAGTTGGCTGAAAATAGTAACAACTGGCATGTTTTGTAGCCCGTAGCGATGCTCGTGTTCCTCGACAGTGAGTGCATGGTGGCCCGCGTTTTAAATCTGTTACATACTATCACTGTGGTTTTACCCGAGGGACACGTTCAGCTGGGCTAGTTCTCCTTTTAAATCTACTGCAGTGTAACTCAGCAAGCGTTACTCAATTTCCTTCTTGTATTTGGCAAAGAAGTTAATAACAGCCGGTGTTATTGTTGCTACTGTGTTTCCTGTCTGTGTCAATGTCTGGTCACACATTGTAAACGGGAGATATGTGAAGATATCTGAACATGTTGAGGCTGCTTATTAAATGGTTGGGCAGTTAGTTTCACAGCTAGACTCATTCATGTTCCGATTTGTGCGTGATCATGATAATAGCTATAATAAAATGTTGTTTGCTCAGTCTTAGTGACACCCAACTGCTAGGTAAATATGGTTATCGGCATTTAAGCGTCATGCACAAATAGTGTGGGCTACAGCCTGTGTTTTTCCTCATGTCTGATCATGTAAATAGAAATATTGAATTTAACCTGACGACAGAGAAGAAGAGAATCTCTCTCTTCAGGCTAGATGTGTTGCTTATGTGACCACATCGGGCACGCTGGCTGGCTCCATGTATCTTTGTTTGCTTGTCAGAGCTCCATTGTTGTCCCAGAGAGTCTGTGTTTCTGTGCATTTTAAAGTCCATTCACGCGTCCCGAGTGCATCATCAGCACGCCCATAGCTTTAATGTGTGGCGTTCCCCCAAAGAGGACCAGTGCGTTTGTGGGGCTGTGTCTAGTAGCACAACAGAGGATCCACAATATCGTGCTACCCAGGACCCGTGACTTACAATTATCTCCAATCAATACGGGATAGCAAAGAAGGCCACCCTCGAGTGCATTTCCTCATAAGTGCACGGAGGAATCAGTTACAAGTGGATAGTAGTTAGTAATGGTGTGTGCTGCACTGTGCTGTGCATGATAGCAGGATAAGGAAGGGCTGTGAGTAGACTTGCTGGCTATGGAGTGTAAATGTAGGTGTTTCGTCTCCTAATCCTAAACTAAGATGTCAAATTCACTCATATGTTGCAACTTTTTCCACAAAAGTGGTGATTTCATTTAGTCACACAGTCAGTCCTTTTTATTTTACCTGAGTCAGCTGAAACCAGACCTGTAGCACAGAGTAGGGCTCAACTCACAGCTTGAGCCTCGGTAGATAGAAGAAATGAGTCAGAGCAGTTTCAACTGTTGACTGGGCCTGTAATGAAGTGTCAATATGATTCAGTTAGATCCTAGTTTGGCATAATCACTTCATATTTATAGTTAATTTGTCTTTTTTTTTTATGTGGCCTTCATTATCTTTGTGTCATGCATCAGTTACTTACGAATCAGTATTACACAGGAGTAAAACCAGCTCTTTGTGTGTTTTCATCCGTCACCCTCACTAAGCAACTTGTGTCATAGTTTTTCCTGCCAACAAGATGTTAGAAGATAAGATGTTAATACTGAGACCCAGGGTTAGTATGTGGTTTCTCTGTGGTAGCACTATTTCACATAGTGTCAGTTGAATACAGGGAAATCGATCTTGCTGTGTCTGATTATCGTTGTTTTTTTCTCATATGCAAACTACTATGGTTTCACTCTCGGCTGTTAAATGTGCTCTGTTGTATGAATGTAACGCTGTCCTCCTCAGCTGCTTCACCCTCAAGCAAGGCATGTGACATGACGTGTGAGCTAACAGTCAAAAACTGTGTATGTGTGTGTGCGGCGCTAGGTGTGGTGGTGAGCCCATGGAGAAGCCGTCATCTTCAGGCAGAGCAGCTCTGGAGGAGAGACATGGCCTGGTGGAGGTAAGCAGCCTGCACAACATGTGATGTGTGGTCAATTCTAACTTCAATACTAACAAATATGAGTTTCTGCTGTTCAAATGTGGTCGCGCGTTTTCACTGCAGACATTTTGGAACGCAGTTGTTATCAGTGTTATTGTACTTTTCATACTGTGACATGTCAAAATGTCCTCACATTCTTTGAATTGTGAAAAGTTCTCTTCACGGTCACTGATGTTGACTTTCTTGACTCGTGCACCAGCTGTTCAAGGTGAACGTTGCAGAAGTCTGTTTACAGGTTTTGGGGGTACTACTGCATATGTGGGGAGAAAAATTTAATCTTTTTGTATTCCATGCATTCCTCTTCCTTGTCAAAACAGATCATTGGTTCTGCTGCATCGATTTTGACCCTTTTTTAAAAAAAAATTTAAACTGCCCATTGTGTGTCGGAGCGCGACGCTAAATCAGTCCAGAACTCTGGGCCAGATTGTTACAAAGCAACCAGAAGCTGAAAATGTATTCCAAATTCATATTTCTTTCAATTTGGTGGCCCAAGAGGGTGTCTTAATCATGGTTGGTTATTTGGTTGATGGTGCTAATTTCCCATCCTGTTTGAAATGCATTGGAGAATGCAGATTGACTCCATTACTGTGCGTCTGTGTTTGTATCTGTACTCAAGGATGATGGGATACTGAGAGGGGCCGAGGGTGGAGAGGTGGATGCTCGGACCCCGAGGAAGAGCAGCTCCTCCCGCAAGAGCTTCCGCTTGGACTACCGGCTGGAGGTAAAACCTCACTTCCCATAATCCCCCTGACCAGCAAAACCTCCTCTTCTACTTGAAACACACACATAACCCATAACCCCCCTTCCTTCAACATGCCATCCTTCCAACTCCAACTGTTGTGTATTGTTTGAAATGCCATTCTTTAAGCCTAAAATAAATGGCTAAAATGTCACGGTTTACTTTGATTCTAGGAGGAAGTAACAAAGTCCTGCCGGGACAAACATGGCCGCTGGACCAACCCCTGGCCCACATGGCGGTTCCCCTCCTACACCACCATGCTCAGATTCCTGTTATTGGATAAAAATCATAGCAATATACCAACTACTAAAGAGGTGTGTTGTTATTATAGTAAACTTTTAAAGCCATTAACTACAGTCTTGGCTTTGTGTCATATTATTCCCAGTAGGTGTCGGATCAGTATTGGAGTTCATATACAGTGTTTCCCGCCTCTCTTAGTAGTATTATTGCTCTTTGTCAGCTCTCCAAACACACACAGTATTTATAGTTTCTAGTTGAAACCTTGCTGAGCTCAGTAAGAGCTTTGCAGGCTGACTGCTCTCACACGCATGTTTAACCCCTTAATTGCACAGACCAACAACCAGAGAGGTCATAGATCAAAAGTTTAATGATGGAACGTAAGCTTGCAACATTTTGTAATAATATTGTGTGTTAGGATGTTGCCTTGTGAAGTTCATGCAAAAATACTTAACAGAGAGGTACACAAAAGGAAGTTGACCAGAGCTATTTTTTTTTTATAAAAAATAAATCCTGCAAGCAGCAACAAAAGCGTGTTTGGAGAGGAGCAAACAGTGCAGCGCTGTAACATGTAACAGTGAGTCTGTTACAAGGGTAACTGGGGATTACTGATCAAATGAAGTCATAAGACTGAAACGTTGTATTCCTCATCATGAATATGTGATGGTTTGTTTCTATCCCTGTCCTTCTTCTCCCTACTGTATCCTTCCCTCTTCCTTTCATTCCTCCTTCTCTTTGTCCCTTTCTCCTTCCTGTGAAGGCTCTGGACAGTGAGCTCCCAGTGATGGAACCGTACTTTGTCCAGAGCCCAGACCTCTCTGACTCTGGTCCGGGTCTGAGAGTCACCTGGCTGGGTCACGCCACAGTTATGGTTGAAATGGACGGGCTGAATATTCTGACAGACCCAATATTTAGTCAGAGGGCCTCACCGTTCCAGTTCATGGGTCCCAAAAGGTACAGAGGACCCCCCTGCACTGTGGAACAGGTGTAGTACTTTTTGTTTTTAATTTATCTTTAGGGAAACGCTACGTCCTCAATCATATTATTTCTCCTAAGCCTCGTTTCTTTGGCTGCTACCATCATTACCAGGGTTTCATGTTTTAACCCTTCTGCCAACAGCTGCCCAGGATCGATGCTGTTGTCATCAGTCATTCTCATTATGACCATCTGGATGCTGGCTCCGTGGCCAGTCTTAATGCACGCTTTGGAGGGGAGCTACGCTGGTAAGTGTTGAACTGTTGTCAACAGTAATGTTTTGAGATCCAGTCTTAATTCTATTCACCAGTTGTAGTTCAAGTATTCAGCTTACTCTCTCAACCAAAGAGCACTATTAGTCTTCCATGATTTTGGAATAATTAAAGTATGCCATCAAAAGAAAAGTTGTAGTATAAAATGTCATAAAGATATATGAAAGTCAGAGTATAGTATGTCATAATACATAACATTGAAAAATGTGTTGCACAGGTTCGTGCCCCTGGGTCTGATGGACTGGCTGGTAAAGATGGGCTGTGAGAATGTGATGGAGCTGGATTGGTGGGAGGAGAATTGTGTCCCGGGTCATGATGATGTTACCTTCGTCTGCACACCCTCTCAACACTGGAGCAAACGCACAGCGCTGGACGATAACAAGGTAGTAATTCATTACCTTTAATGTATTAAATCAATCACTATAAGAGTAGAGGGTGAATGAGGCAAATAATTCAATAGAGCACAAAGAGGGTTTCATTTTTTATTTTGAGTTGAAAGCATATGAATGTAACTTTTCATATTGTTTGCTGTGTCTCTCAGTCTCTATGGGGCAGCTGGTCTATTTTGGGCCCGGATCATCGATTCTTCTTTGCTGGCGATACCGGCTACTGCACTTCCTTCCAGGAGATTGGCCGGCGCTTCGGACCATTTGACCTCGCAGCAATCCCCATTGGCGCTTACCTGCCCAGGTTCTGTACATACTGTGTCCACTTCAATAAAGTTTAACCACCTAAATATGACAATGTCAACAAAATCTAAGCCCTACACCCTTTGTAAAAGTGGACTAGAGTACATTTTAAAAGATGATATAGCTTTAAAACAGACAAATGAACTTTGTTTTTCAGGGATATGATGCAGGGGCAGCATGTAGATCCAGAAGAGGCTGTTCGGATCCACCAAGACCTTCAGGCCAAACACTCCGTGGCCATTCACTGGGGAACCTTTGCTCTTGCCTATGAGGTACAATGTGCAGTTAATTAGTTGTGGTTTAAATTAATAGTTTGACCTGCTTCAAAAACACCTTGGCAATCAAATGTGGTTTCTCTCTGAAAGACGTGTGACACGGTGACTCAGCTACAATGAGGATAAATGTGTCCTACTAGCTTAATTAACAGCACCCAGTTTATTAGGTTCTGCTGAACTGGACTGTGTTAGTCTGACAGGTGTTTCTATTTTTATATCCACCCCATTCACAACACTGAGGCCAGGGTAGGCTAAATAACAGAAACATCTCTGTAGAAAGTACTGCGAAGTTAAATCAACCATAAGAAATGTTACAATTTTTTCCAGAAACAGCTGACCCATCATAGCATACCCATTCTGGTAACAACAAGGTGTCATTGTTCGCTAACTCAGTTTAATACAATCTCCGGCTTGCTGCCGCACTTTGAAAGTTAGAGATGACAAAATAAAAACAATCACTTTTTCTCAATTAACATTTCATCCCTTCTTCATCAGTACTACCTGGAGCCACCGGTTCGTCTCAGAGAGGCCATGGAACAGAAAGGACTGAAGCAAGAATCCTTTTTCACTCTACATCACGGGGAGTCCCGCCTTTTAGCGCCACAGGAAGGAGACGTCTTTGACTGATCCTCTCTGTAACAAAGTGCAGAAAATGTTTATCATATTTGATGGTCTACAGAAGTTTTAAAACGTTCTACAATGCTGTATCTCCACCAGAGAAGAAAAATATTGTTTGTAATTCTTTCCTTGTGAGAAACATTTTAATATGAAATTCAAGTCACAAATATTTGTATCTGTGTAACAAAGCACAAAAATCAGACTTCTTTTTTGTTATCCTAAGAAGTATAATTGCCAATTTCACATAACTCATATTTGGAGACGCTTCAGGAAGCTTTCAGCCCTGAGGAGACCAGAGCAGTGACGTATGTTCAACCACTGAAACAAAATGTCTCATGCTAATGTTATCGGTTGGTGTAAACTATCTGGTCAAGAATAAATGAAACTCACATGGAGTAACTGGTGCAGGGAACAATGTGGAATTGAACCACAAACCTTGAGTATGAAACTGGACGGGAGAAAGATGCAGCTTCACGGTCACACACAGCTGGACTATGACGTTCCTGTGAGCTGTAATAGAACAGAAAACAATCATCAGGTTATTTAGATTGGTGCTAGCTGATGCCACAATACAAAAAGGTATTGTTTTTCTGAATGTACACTGGCCAACATGAGATGCAGAAGTGTAAGAAGAAATCGATTTGCCTGTGAAATGAATTCCCAACCACTGTATTTTAATAGAAAGCTTTGTTAAAGAACTGTCAGACGCAGACTGAAGTTGAGCTGGGTTCACCTTCGTGTCTTAAATAGTGCTTTAGTGTGATCATTTTCACTTCTTAGAACGCAAGTAAACGGATGTATTTGCTTCACAGCAAAAGTAGAATCATTTTAGTACTCGCTGTTAAAGTGATTTATTTTTTTATGTTAACGCTGAATGAACGTGGCTTAGACTTGTTCCATTTCACTGATTCTCCCATTAAATATAACTTGCATTTAAAATGTTTCTTTCTTGTCAACAGTTATAAACATGTCAAAAAAGCCAGAGTACAACACGTCAACAGAACTATCTAGAATAAGGGAAAAAGCCGTACTATAGTATGTCAAAAAAGTCCTGAAAGTCATAGTATTGTATTTCGAAAAAGTCATAAAACGTCATAGTATAGCATGTCGAAAAAGTCATAGTATGTCGAATAAAGTAAGTACTGTAGCCTACGTCAAAGAAAAGTCATAAGAACATCATAGTATAGCATGTCGAAAAAAGTAATAGAATATCTCGAAAAAGTCATACTATAGCATGTAGAAAAAAAGTCAATTTAGCAAGTCGAAAAAGTCATAAAAACGCAACAGTATGTTATCTCAAAAAAGTCACAGTATATATATTGAACATTAGAGCAATTTATTTAAATGCATACAAAATACTGTTCGTATACTATTCTAAAAGTATTTGCCTCTTACAAATCCAACCCTTCATAGTACAAATATTGCAGGTTATTTTCATCATTGCTGCATTTAATGTTTTTTTACCTTTAAAAAAAAAAATCATGAACATGACATGTAATGTCGGCGGGCTGGTGTGTTGGGCAGCACTACCAGAGTTAACGCTAGTGGTTCCATTCATACCTGCTCCGGTGATCGGCCAGGTTGTCCAGAAAATCCAACCGCTTCTTGAAACTTCTGCCACAAAACTTTTTATAGTGCACTGTACTACAGCACTGCTCTTTTAGTGGACAGTTAGAAACTGGTTAAAGTGTTTAAAACGTATTTTCTTTAACACGCTCGCTCCTCCTTTCTGTTCTCCTCCATGCTGTTTGTTTGTGCTCCCTCCCCGCGCGCACAGGTGTCTCTAATGACTCCCCTCTCCTGCATTGCACACCTTGCACTGTGCAAGAATGACACAAGATGGCAGTGTCTGCTTTTCTGCTTTATTTCTCATAAAAATATGGACTTCAACCAAAATATTGCTTGATATTATCAAGCAGAAGATTTGAAATACAGTGGAACCATTTCTAGTGCCTTCTTCCCTTGAATGCAAATCTCTGTCAGTACACCAGAGATACAGGTTTAGGTTTGAATATAGAGCAAGACAGAGTTCAAATTCAAATTATTATTTTTATCATCCATTAATAAAATAAGTTGAGCTCCAACCGACAGAGTTGGAGAGTTTCTTTTACATTCAAAGTGTTAAAAAAAAGAGATATTTGACAATTATAAAACATTTCTTCAGCATGTGCACCTACGATGTGTTATCATCACTCTGTGTCGTTCAAAAGAAAAAACAGGGAAAAGGTTTCTCTTCCCAAATAAGCCAGTGATGATGTTTCCAGCTGGGAGCATACACTCAAAAAAAAGCCCAAATTCATATTTTTTACCAGTCAGCATGAGGTGAGACTTGTTTCTAGGGATGGGTGACCACATCTTCTAAAAAAATAATTTAGTTTAAACAGATCCCTAATGATCTTGAGTCTCCATAACACAGCACCAAGTGTCACTGGGTGTTAGGAATGTCGTCATGGCTCAGCGTTGTTTGCACACGTCTCTGCATCAGTGTGTCTCTGCTGTCCGTTCGACCCTCCAGACCAACGTCGCGAGAAGTCCAGAAAGATGCCGTTGTGCTCCGGCTCTGAGTCCAAAGACTCCGGCACGTGGTCCGTCATGATCTCCAGACTGGATGAAGGACTGGGACCGGAGCTTGTGTCTTGAGCCAGCGCTCTGGAGGATGCGGGGGAGTCTGACACCAGCGAGCCAGCGCAGTGTGTGTCCTCGCCTGGGGAAGGCTGTGGGAGGATGCAGGGGGAGTGATTCTGTGGCTGGAGAGGGTGGGGACCTGAACGGAGACCAACAGAGGTTTTAGAGTTAAGCAAAATAAGCATTTTAAGACTAAAAAGATGGGGTTGTGCAATGTTGGACAGTCTTAAAAAGGTACATTTAAAAGGTCTGAGATTCAGCACCAGAACACACTGTTTAAAGAGTAATCTGAACCATTGATCACTCCAGCAATAATAGCGTCTTGCCATTTTGAAATTTGCTGATGCCAATGATTTGTTAGGTTGTTTATTACCGGGGCAGCCGTACCTGAAAGTGCAGCGGAGGCCGTGGAAGCTGGAGAGTGGTTGGCGAGGCTGGATGTGCTGGTGTTGCTGGTCGCAGTGGATTCAGCCAAAGAGCTGCTCTCCTCCAAGCAGGACGTCATCTCAGAGACGGAGTGCCGTCTGATACCTGTGCCACCTCCTGCGGAAGAGTCGGTGTCGTACTCCCCCACAGGGGTCAGCATGGGAATGTTGTAGCTATTAGAGCGTACCACTAGGTTCTTGGCGATGGGGGAGTTTCCTGGTTTGAAGGGCCAGGAGCGCTGCAAACGCTTTTCTGGGGAGAGAAGGAGCGAGAAAGTAAAGAAAGACTGCTTTATAAATTTGATTACTTTATAATTGAAAACACGCAAAAACACCACAGAGAGCAAGTGCAGGAGAACACACGAACACATAAGTGAACCTGGCGCTTGTAACTTTTAAAAGCACTTCCATGGTTCGTCATCTGTAAACACATTTAAACATGTACATACCTACAACACAGGAGGAGCAGTGCAAATTGGAAGATCCATCTCTGGAATATAACCCATGAGTGCCGAGGTATGGAGAGACCACCTTCTGGATGAGAGCCTCCAGACGAAGGTAGTCATCTGTTACACCTTTGGATTCATGGACTCCCTGCATCAGACACACACACACACACACACACACACACACACACACACACACACACACACACACACACACACACACACACAGATGTCAAATTAAATAATGCAATCACTGCAAAGGGTGGATATTTCACATTACACTGTCATCCGATTTGTTGTTGTGATCAAAATATTGATTAAAATAGCTTAAAAGAGAACGGGCCATATTTGGGTGTTGGTTTTAGGTCAACACAGAACTTTACTACAAACTGAGAACATGAGTAAGAAAATGATTTGCATCTGCCATCACAGCGCAATCACAACCAATTTCCTGAATGGGAATAAAGGGGCCGTTTCTCCCCATGACGGGACACGTTGCATTCATCCCGCTTCACCATGCATCCACTCTGCGTGTGTTGAGCCCCTCATTGCCCTGTTTATTTCAGATGGGTCTTCATGTGGGGCCCAAATTGTTTCTTCACCATCACCAGGAAACACACGCATTACAGCTTTGCTGCAAGGCACAAACCCCACTGTGCACTTAGCATCAGCTTGCTTTTAAGTAAATTAGTGGCAGACAAATGACCCTCATAATCAATGGGAATCAATACGGTGCTGCTTTACAAACTCAGAGCCATGAAGAAAAACAAAGTACATCTTTTCTGTTTGAAAGGTTCAGGCTCTTTGTTTCCATAATAGTTGGAATCGACTCCACAACTTTTAAAAACCTTGAAACCAAATTTTCACGCTGAGGGGTGTGATACATGTGGGCCCGGAGACCTTACCCCAGAGTTTTCGAATCACAATAGAGAGATCAATCATTGTTTCAGTTCTCTGAATCGTTGAGCATATGCATCTAAACCGCAGCACAGAGACGAACCACATCAAAAGACCAGACTTCGGCGAATTGGCGTCATAGAACGGAAGGGATATTACTAACAGATGAAACAAGAAGTTGCAAAAACAGCAAACATTCAGTGCTGAGTTGTACCCCTCTTACCCCCGACCTCTTGTCGTAGCTGCCCTGCTTTTTATATCCTCAACTCTACCTGTTGGTTTGATATTCATTGTGGGCAAACACAGAGAGACCATTTAAAATGACTCTGCAGCATCTGTACACAGCAGATAAAACAGGAAAATAAACATGTCCAGTTGTCTGTTCTTGTCCACAGACACATGAATGTCTGCCCTCTCATCTAGTAAAACAAGATAGAAATTCACATAATTCATAACCATTTACTTCTGTAAAGTTTTTGATAATGAGGTCACTAATCCTAAATGATTATTTTGATGATTGACTTGCTGAATTTCCTGTTTTTGTGAGAACAAAAGGATCTTAAGAGGACAGTGTAAACATGGTTAATTCACACAGGCAGGGTGCAGAGGGTACTGAGCGGTCATGGGAAGACGACTCTGTATCTCCTCTGAGATTGCTTCCTGTGAGATCCCTTTGCAAGAAAAAAAAAAAAGTCAGCTGCTCTCTGTACCCTCTGATCCTCCATCTGTTGTCACTTACCCTCTTCCCTCAGCTTGTCTGTGCGAGCCGTGTGTTTGACAGTGTGTGTGTGTGTGGGAATATAGGGTGAGAGATTGTAAGCCAAAGAGGATGACAAGGAAAGGAAAAGATAAAGAGAGAGAGAGAGAGTGTGTGTATGTGTGTGTGTGTGTGTGTGTGTACCTGTAGTATTAGCAGCATCTGTATGATAGAAGGGGGAACTCTGGCTCGGGGTCGACACAGAGCCTCGTCCAGTTTCAGGTTGAGGGCGATGATGTTCCTGAAGTGGAGGAGAGCCAACTGACGCACTGACGGCTCCTTTCCCTGTGGACACACATGTCAACACACAGTTTTGTAATGGAAATATAAGCATGTGAGTGCGAGTATAGGTGTGTGTGTGTGTGTGTGTGTGTGTGTGTGTGTGTACCTGTACAGGATAGAAGATGGCCTGCAGCATGGACAGAACATCACAGAAGAAGAAGTCCCATGTGTCGGCCAGAGAGTCCAGCAACTTCTGACCTATAACACACAATGCATGAAGACAAACAACTCAATCACCACAAAGTCAAAAACATTACCGTCTGACTGGCACATGCAGTCAACAAGAGACAAGGCGCTGGGATATTCTGGAAAAGATCTCTGCATCATGTTATCTGAGAACTTCATGCGACTTGTTCTCATTGCAGTGGATGTACAGGTTCCTAATTCCATGCAAATGATACATGTCTGTAATGATGGACGTGACTCACTGGCTCTGTGAACATTCACCAAAGCCAGAAGGCACCAGCAAACTAAAAGGTCTTGGTAGATTTTGGCGTCGCTTATATCATGCAGAGTTCTGCTCACCTTCATAGAAGTGGATCTTGTCTCTCAGTATCACCATGCCTTTAGTGAGCAGCTGGTTCTGAAGGTACTCAGTGAAGAAGGAGCCCAGCTCCGTCTTCAGCAGCTGCCTGTATAAAAAAAAAGTACAAATGAGTGCGTGTGTATACTGTAAGCGGACACAGACACACACACACACGCACACACACTGTGATACTTCTTTTACATGAACCATAAATAATTAGTTCTAGTGAACTGGAAAGCTGCGGTGTTTAAACAGCAGCAGACTCAGGAAATGAGAAAAGACATTGATCACACTGAAAACAAAAAAACATGTCAACAACAGGATTTTCCACCGATGAACCGGAGAGAACACATGTTGAGATTAGCACGACAGCTCACTTTGCTGTTATTACAGGAAGAGAACACTTGATCTTTAATCTTTATCTAATCTTCGTCATGACTACTGCCGAGTTTCTGCAACGTGATGTGAAGCTTTCATGTTGTTCAAGTTCATTACAGCGGCTTGAGTCAGTGTGCATGCATGTGTGCGGTGTGTGATATTTACTGTACATGACTGGGGTTTTGACATCCCTGTGTCAACTGCCCTCGGCTAAACTGTAATTAAACACACCGCGACCCCTCTGTACCCTCCAACCTGTCATTCGCTTGCAGGTGTTTCTGGTTCAGTGGACAAGTTTGCAGCCGAGAAACGGCAGGAGAAAGACGGAGTAGCTGAGAGAGACGCAACAACAAAAACAGTTACTGGCCATGTGTTAATGTGTCATTAAAGGCTAAATTTAGCACGCTGAAGCTGCCATTGTGTGTATATGGGAGCAAGGGAAGGTGGGAAATTACAGAGTATAACACTACAATTTAGTCACACTTCTTCCTGAAATACTAAACCAGCTCAAGCTCAACATTCGCCGTGTTTGTGAGAAAGTCAGCGAGAGAAGTCAAATAAAACACAGAGAGACGGAGAGCTTACCTGACACCTTCGTTCAGGGTGTAGAGTTCATTTTCCCCCAGATCCTTCTTCTGGAAAACTGATATCACTGCGTTGTGGATGCTGAGTAGGAGCACACAGAAGCATTTAGTGCACAAATATTCACAAAGACTAATGTGTAGAATGATAGAATAATATTACATTAATCAACAATATGCATGATCACTACATGACTAGCTGCTGAGAGGCAGCATTTCACACAGAAAAAAGATGATTTCCATTGCTTCAAATCGAGATACATTGTAGATTTGCAACATAAATACTAAATCAAATTGTGCAACCTGTGAATATGCACAAAGAAGCCGCACAATATAAAGTGTAAACAAAATAAAAGACAGCAGAAAACAAGAAAGGAGAGTTAAACATAAAAACGTTAGGAGGGGGCATGAACTTTTTGTTTACTGTAGGTTCCGGTCCAGCTCATGTTGTTCATGCCCCCCCCCCAAGTGAACCAACATGGCTCATGCTTCAGACCACGGCTCACACACTAACCTGTTCCAAGTAGCGTTGGCCCCGGCCCTTCTCTGCTGGGTCCCTCTGTCCCTGCTGCACTCCTCAGCCAGTCCTCCCTTCTCCCCTCCCCCCCCTCCTCCTCCTCCTCCTGGGGTTTTCGCCTGCGAGAGGTCGGTCAGACTGGAGAACGAGCTGTTACCCAACCTCAGCTTGTTGTGGAGACTCCTCGAAATCCAAAAGATAGAAAGAGAGAAATAATTATAAGAAGAAACTGCAGTACAACGTGTTACTGGATGAAAACGGTGGAGCCAAACCCACTTTCCACTTACGCTAGTGGAACCTAGTGACAGTACATAAAGTGTAAACGTCATCCAAAGACAATAACAGGAGTTTTATTTTCCCCTCAAAAGCTAAATGTTTTTGTAAGTACAGTGAATTTTGGAAGAGAAAGTGAAGTGAGGAATAGAGACACTAAGAGGAAAAAAGAGGAGAGAGAAGTAGGTACAGGCAGGCTAAATATTCACAGGTTGGTCCATGGAGGAGAAACAAACAGTGAGTTCAGTTCAGAGTGGTGCAGGGGAAAAATAAAACTACAGATTCTATTGAATACCTAGATTTAAACATGTGGAAGTAATAATCGTTAGTTTTAGTTTAGGATCTCTGTTGGGAATGTACTTATGATTGTTAGGATTAGCAGTGAAGGAATGCATTATGTCAGTGAGGGCCCCAAATAGTACAGAAGAAGAGGAACAAAGTAAAAATGTGGTGTTAAAGCTGAAACTCAACTAGACAGAAACTAGTATAAAGCTGCTTAATATGTCAGGAACAGGTAATGAAACAGTGTTCTCTCTCACAGGCATGTACAGCATATGTGTGTATGTGTGTGTGTATACATAAGTGTAATCTGCATGTAAGGCAAATATTAACTTACACACTACAAACACTGTTCTTTATGTTTCTGCAGTGTCTCTACTGGAAAATGAATCAAAAATACTTAGTCATTTATTCATTCAAATGACTAAACCAGCACTTTCTGCAAAAGTTGAAAACATACGACAAACCTCCCTCCACACACACACTCACGCACACACACACACTATGTACTTACTCCAGTAACTGAAAAGGTACCACATATCCCCACTCCATGAGTGTGTGTGTGTGTGTCACACTGAACAGAACGAGAGTTTGATGAAAGAAAGGATGAAGATGTAGAAGACAACAGGTGTCTCTGTCCTCATGGGTCTCTATCTCACTCTTTCACATGCCCTCTCTCTCTCATTTCCCTTCTCTCCCTCCTACTTCTTTTACTTTAACTTTTTTCTTCTCTGCCCTCTTCTCTCTCTCTCCCTCTCCCCTTTTGCCAGTCTGTGCCAGTCGGTGACCATGCTATGTGAGCTTTTGTGCCAGGCGAACAAAGGAACCCTTTGAGGTTCAGGAGCTGCCAAGAGGGAGAGGAAGGGTTTAAAGGTGACACACATTTCACTTCCTCCTCCTCCTTTTCTGTCTGTGTGGGGCCCAGGACAGATAGAAGTTGTGTTCAAGCTGTAATCACATGTTGGCTTGATTCATCACATTGAGTTTGTCTGTGTCTGCTTTTTACTGTCATCTGCTGTGGAATTATTCTCTTTTCTTCTTTGTTTTTAATACCTTTGTAATGATCCATGCCCAACTGAATTTAATTGAATTTGGACACAAAAGGAAGAAGAAAGAGGAAAAAAGGGGCTGAAAGGAGATGAAAAAAAAGGAAATCAGGAGCATGTAAAAGAATATGGCAGGGGAGACGGTGTGTGTGTGTGTGTGTTTTTGGTCCGTCTGTCAAGCCTTCAGATAGACACACACACAACTTTTGTCAAAGTAAGGATGCATTTCCAAATTCTCTCAGAAAAGGTGCAGTGATGAACACCGTGCAACTGAATCTACAAACACCTGAAGAGTGGATGATGCAGAGCAGAAGATACAGAGACTCAGAGGAGACACTGAGTTGTCAGCGTGATGGAAAAAAAGGGTTCTGAATTTAGTAAATTAAAGATTAGTGATGCAACCCGGAAGTTAGATACTCTTTGTTTGTGGCGCTGATACAACAGGAAGAGTTGTGAGAGAAAATGCTGCCGTCTAATTACTTAACAAAGGAGGATAAGGGGGATGTTTGCATGACTGAAAGAATGAATGAGGTCATCGAGGAATGTGTGTGAGTCACTTTCATCTACCTTTTTGTGTCCCAAAGACCGGGGACAAAGAGAGAAAAGGGAACAGAGTATTGGAGATGCCGTGAAACTCTCTGAACGAGACCTGCTGGCTGATGTGAAAGTGTGTGTAGGGGTGTGTGTGTGTGTTTTTACCTCCTAAATGAGCCTTCTCGTTCCATGTTAGCCTAAACAGACAGCTGCTACTTAGGGACCGCCCAGCAACCACCACTGACGAATCAGCATCTGAAACAGGTAGAATGAGTGGCAGAGAAAAATCATCTTCATTTCAAACAAAACCACCTGAAGTAACAAACTTAACGGGCTTTTGTAGGTTTTTTTTTTTGTACTTTTCTAGTTTGAACCCCGAGTGAATCAACCTTCTTCCCGGGAAACTTTTTAAACCTCACAGCACGAAAAGCACAGGTGTAAACAATAAAAATGATTGTGGTGGAATTTGATTTAGCTGCTTCAGTTTTCAGGCTCCCTGGGACAGAGCGGAGCCACCGTTAATGTTATCAGTAACACCTGTGATGTATGTGATGTCTATGACATGCACACTGCATATTTTATTTAAGTAAACAACCCTCATGAAACCTGCAAAAACATCTTGATGACTATACAGTGGAAGAGTTTTGCATGGATAAATATACCCTTAAAGACAAATAGAGCTGCGTGGCTTTAAGAAGCAGCTCTGAGTAGCGTTTGAAATTTCTAACTTCCCATTGAAAGTATCAAAACAAGACACTGTGACACAGAAACATGCACCCCATACCTCCACAGATCTGACCTGGGGACAATGGAGTCTCATTTTGCGATGAACATCCCTCTGCATCCCTGAATGTCCTGTCTGTATAGCCACTGTCACTATCAAATAAAGGCACAAAGCTCCCACAATAATGAACATTAAAAAAAATATATATATGACAAGCTCCAAAGTGCTCATTTACGTGTGGAGTAAAATACTTCAGTACTAAGTCAGACAGATATTCACAGACAGTGACTCTACTCAGCGTCTAGCTAACTAGACACCGTAATCTAATCTAATTACACTAAAGTGGGTGAGACAGAAATTTGATCCTACCACAAACTCAAATGCCCTTATACTCACACACACACACTCTCTCTCTCTCTCTCTCTCTCTCACACACACACACACACACACACACACACACACAGAGATAGAATGACAAACATAAGGCAGGTTTGTCAGGGCCAACTAAGGTAAAGCATGAGGCTTCCTCCTACCGGTGTCACTGTCATATTCAAGGCAACATGGCTGCTCCTCATATTCATATTTGACTTGTAGCAACATAAAAAAAATATAATCTGCAATCTGTGCCAGTGAATTATTAATTCAACAGTTCCAGCGATGGTTTTAGACTTTTGCAATCAAAGTCACCTCACTGAAAGCTTTACTTTGTTAAAACCCTGGTGAAGTTGCGGTCACGATAGAGAATCAAAGTCAGTTTAGATGAAACCTGTCATGTGTTTGTCTGCTGGTGAAGAGTCTCCAGTGGTTCAGGCTTTACTTGCTGGAAGTTGTATTTGTCAAATATAAACGTTGACCTGCTGTTGCCTGGCGGCTAGTTATACCTGTTACCTAGTTTATCCTATATATCTATTTACCTTTTTATTATCAAGTTTTCTCTGTGAAGCACATTTCTGTTGATAAATGTGGTTTCGAAATAAATTGACTCGACCTCACGGCATGAGGCAGATTTTAACCTTCTATTGGAATAAGGACTCTGCAGAAGAGGTCTGATTTCAGACCAGAAAGGCACCACTTTCAAGAATAATGTGGTGTTTGTTTATGGTAAAAAAAAACAGTGAATGATATTTGCCTAGATAAACGTCACCGTGACTATGGTCAATCACACTTGGCTCTGCAGAGGGAAATGCCTGACGAATTCATTCTCATGCCCCCCTTCAGTGTGGTTCAATGCCTTGCTTAAGGGCTCTTGTAGTTTCAAGGATTGTGGTTTTGGGAGCTTGAAAGTGTTTCTCATACAGCCTCTGGCTCAATTTTCATGAGCAGTGCAGGATATTAAACCAATGAGCTCCCACTCATTTAGAATCCTGACTTCTCTGAGTGTGAACCCCCCCCCCCCCTCCTCTCTCTCAGCAGACAGTTTACATCGTAAATAGATATCAGGGACTACACTGCAAAAAAATTAACAGCCATAATCTGCTTCAACACACACACGCACACACCTACACACACACACACACACACACACACACACACCATTCTGCAGACTGGCAGCACAACAGGGAAATTACCACCCTGCACCAGACTGCTAGAGTAATGTTGCCTGAGTCTTGCAGCAGGTTTGTCTGCTCTACCTCTGGCAGAAGACCAAACCACGAGTTGGACGTTCTCCCGTAGCCTACAAATCATTGGTGTCTGCTTTAAGAGCAATCCTACCCTGACAACGTTTCTTAAGTCTCCTTCCTGTCTACTAGTGTTTAATAAAACACTTTAAAATCACGCACAGCACAGAAATCCTGGAGAATGGTGCATAAAGATTGCCATCAATAACACTTTGGAGAGGAAATTAATCTTAGGACAAATCATAATGCTATATGGAGTAAAAATGGAAGAAGTATGAGCAATTTAAGTCGTATTTTTTTATAGTAAAAGCTTAAAGTTTTTCTATCGGTGTACAACTGACGCCAGGACTGAGTTGATCATTTTCATACATCGGCTCCTATACTCACTTTTTCAGAAGTCTTCCTCGCTCCCTTTTAAGTGTTCTCTGTGTTTAATACCCGCCCCAAAAAAAAAAAAAAAACCTCAAATAACTCCTTTTATTTGGGTGAAGGATGGAGGTTTACGCGGTGCCGAAAAGTCCACCTTCACAGTTCTTGAGCGCCGATAACAGCGCGCGAGGACTGCGCACGTTTCCCCTGAAAAGATCCGATGTTAGGAGCCGTCTTGGACCCGCGTGAGCAGCGCCAGCGATCTGTCAGCGCAGCTTTCAGGACTGTCCGCGAGCGTCAGAGAGAGAGAGAGGGAGGAAGTGAGGGAGGTGAAGCAGAGAGAGAGAGAGAGAGAGAGAGATCATGATGGTGTGGGGGGCGCGCGCGCGTTTGCAGGGGTCGGTGGGTGAGAGATGTAGCCTAGCAGCCTATGGAAAGTGTTGGTGGTTTAGTGTGTGCGTGTGTGTGTGTTTGTGGGTCGTGTATATTACAGCATGCATAACAGTTAAGAGGATAAAGAGCAATAAAGAAAGAAAATATCTTGACTTTGTGCTACTTTTTACTTCTTAATCATTTCAACTAGCCAGAGTTTTTGAGGCAGATGAGAGCAGCTTTGTCAGCAGGTTTTAAAACAAAAGGAGTCTTAGTTGACAGCACAGTGGACTCTCATGTTTAATTCATAATGAAATAATTCATGGCCAAACCGATACAGCAGCAGCAGCCCACTCAAAACACTGGACAATACACTGAGTGCTTTTACTGCTGGAGGAGAAGGCCACTGAGCAGCTACACAGCCTTCTGTGTGTGCTTCTATGGGTGTTTCTCACTTCTGTGAGCCAAAACTTGCATTTTTCAAGTGATCAACTTCACACTGCACACACTATCTAATGCACAGATCTCCACATTAACCACAGAGCTCAGTGTGTCACATCAGACAAACTGCACTCTGTCTGCACACTGCATATGCAATTAGAGCACTAGACACAGCCACACACACAACAATGTCGGTAATAAGGAACAGGTTTGTAATAGCAAAGTCCATGGTCAAGGCCAGATTGTATCTTAAAAGTTCTCAGGACCATAAAACACCCACACATACACAGGCACACACACACACCCAGGCACACACACACCCACACACAGGCACCTGGAAAAATACAGCTCGCCCAGAGTTCACTAATCACTTAACATTATATAAACAGAGTGTTACTAATGTCTCTGTGCACACACGGCACACCACATAATAATCGGTTTCTAGACTCTGATGATATGATGTGTGTGTGTGTGTGTGTGTGTGTGTGTGTGACCAGCAAAAACCTGCAGCAAATGAGTGATGTGAGTTTTTCTTGCAGTTAGCGAGTGTTGCTTTAGGGACATTCTTTCACGCTTGAGACTTGAAAAGAAACTGGCTAACTAGTGTGTGTGTGTGTGTGTGTGTGTGTGTACTCACCTTTTTTTGCGAGACAAAAAGGGGACAAATGCACGTCCCCTTAATGTAAATCATTACATTCTAGCATGAAGACTTGGTTTGAGGTTAGGTTCAGGCTGTCCCTAAAAGTCATGAAAACAGGACTGAATGTGTGTGTGTGTTTGTGTGCATGTGTGTGTGTGTGGGTGTGTGTGTGAATAATGTGTACGCAAGCGTGCATCTTAATATCAGGAAATACAGGATGGACCTGCATTCCCTCTGTAACTGAACACAACATTATTTTGAACATCCACATTATTCTGGAATTTATTTAATGATAGCTGAACCAATCATTAGTTGAGATAATTTAATATTATGCCTTTCATTTGCCCAACTGCTGGGACTGTTCTCCTTTGATACAGTCCATCCCTCGCTACACTTAAATGGCAACAGCACAAGGTCAAAGGTGAACCCCGAAAGTGAAAAAGCAGTTCATTTGAATTCTGATGCTCATTTAGTTCCGCAGTATAGTGGCAGCAACACTGCTGACAAGGTGTAATTTGCACTTTTACAGGCAGACTTTGAAGTTGATTTTAAAAAGGAAACTGTAGGTTCAAAAACCACAAAGCACACTGCAAGAGGGAACATGATCATTTGAGATATAGTTTATTTCATTAAGATAAATGTTTTGTCAGTGAAAAGAGAGGTGCAGGTAGCGGTGCAGCGCAAAGTGTCTGTTAGCGGTGACCTTTTCGGCTGCAAGACGGATGATCTGTATAGAGATACACAGTGTTTGTTTGTGTTCAGCTCCACTCCATCTCCTCCAGTCTATTTTAAACACACACAAAGTCACATTATAACGTACTGAAATACACGTCTACACGGACAAATGCACACACACTCGCCCGCAGGCAAACTGGTATCATTTCAAATGAGTGCCGCTTTAATCTGGGCTGTGTAAAGAGACGAGGGGCGAAAAGCTGCTCTCAGGCCAAAAGAAGGAGCAGCAGGAACCTGTAATGACTCAGGAGCCCTCTGCTTGCACAGCTACATGATTACACTAAACACGGCAAGGTTGCTCCATCACTGCATAGAGGAGGGCTGGGACTTTCCTTTAAGTTATCCAACGGCAAACATCCAGCTCATTATCTTTTTTTATTTTTGCGTTGAAACACGCATAGGGGATATGTGTCGTGTCAGTGATCTCACACCATTTAACACCAAATATTTTGAGTACTGAGCAAAGTCAGTACTAACCTGTATTTGCCCAGATCACAAGTGTTCCACTCCAGTAGCATCCTGGTCCATAGCTGCAGGTGAAGGTCAGATGCTTCATTCAATTGCAGCTGAAGTCAGCGGGAAAGCTACAAATGTATTACTGAGTAAATACATGAGGAAGTAGACAGAAACAGGGGTGGGACAAGGAGGGACACACAGGTTCTTTTATATCCTTTTTTCTTTCTTCTGTTTTGTTGTTCATTAGCTTATTTTATCCATCTCTTTTTCCTGTATACTCTGTAACTATATCATTTCATTAAATGCAAAAACAACAACTTTTTGCCATCAGATGATCATTTGAAAGACACAAACTATCAGAGAAACATACTTGATTCCAAATCCGAAGGGTGTGTTTGCAGGGGGACCACATATACAAGGGTGCCCACTGTTTAGTAAACACACACACACACACACACAAACACACCTTCATGAGGCCCATATGGAAACTCTCAGTCAGCTAAAGGTTATATAATAGGTATCTATCCATGTTTATATTAGAGAAATCTGTGGATGGTCTTTCAACTGCAATAACAACCAGTTTAGACATGAGATACCCATGTAGTGATAATATCACCATTACTTGGTCTCCTGCTGTTTCTGTTTGGCTGACAATGGAGATGTTTCAAAGTTGCACACAACATCTCATGGCAGACTATTACAATATATTTGTTTAGTGTTGTTAAACAGTGATACATCATTGTCAAATGAATTGTCACATGTTGATTTAAAGACTACATCTCCCCGTAAACACTGGCTCAAAGAAGATGCAGTTTCTTATCCCATAGCTTGGATTCCTCAGTACGTGTTTGTCTTACCGTTTGCTCCACTGAAGAGGAAGTCATCACTGTGTGTTTTATTTGCTGCCTTTGCATTGTGAGAAAGTCTGAAAACCTTTTACTCTGGTTAAAGCTGGAGGGACATTGACCACTTCCTGTTTCATTCCGTAAAACAACCCAGCAGAGTTTCCAGAAAAATGTGACTGGTTTGCACCGTGTGTAAATCATAATGGTTTAATGCTGTCTGACTTGCCATCTGTGGTCCCTGTGGTTCACCTGCGGTGCAGATAGGTCAGGTTATAAGAGCTTATCATTCTCTAAATGCTTGCTTCTCTAGCGTCACCATTAGTTGATTTTTGTGGTTTTAATTAAAATGTCTCAGCAATAACTGGGCAGGTTGATCATTTCTTCAATAAGTCATTCCAGTGTGATTCTTATTGTTAAATATTTGTTCAGTGGACCACTGACTGGGCTGCAAGATTTCCAGATTCAACCGGAGTGTGTTGGCTGCAGGTTTAAGGTATGTTGGACCAAAGCGTGTGTCAAGAAGAGGATTCCAATCCTCTCAGCAATGCTTTGATGCATTTATGATAATTACTTCACGATGCTAAAATATTACACACGGCAAACACACACTAGTTGTTATCACAAAACATGAATTTGAGTTTATAATCCTAAATAATCTGAATGGGGTTAGGGTTATGTCAGGATAAGAAGTCTTCTATTCATATATAGATTCATACAGCGAAATAGTTTCTACAGCTTGTAACATTTACATAAACTGAAGCATGGAACTCTGTTCTCTGTCTGCAGTCTGTGTATTTCTCCCACACACACACATGACACCTGAAGACTTCCGTATCTGTCTCCCTCCCCCTCTCTCTCTTTCTCAGAGTGTTTTTTTAATTCATGCGACTGCCGAAAAAACGGCCATTGTGATGTAAATCAACTAATTGGTCACAACAGGATGAATAAATGGAAGCGTCACATACTCTACACAACAAAAAATCCCATTTAAGCAGATTTGTTTATCTCGTTTTAGCTTTTCAAAATTTGCTCAATCACTTTTTTTATATGCAGGTTAATCCTTGTGGAGGTGTGTGTTATACATAAATACAGCATAATTATACATAAATACAGGACGTGACCCCTTTCAGCTGCAGAACTGAAAGGGGTCACATCCTGTATTTATGTATAATTATGTTGTGCAAGACTGTTTACACGTGTGTGTGTGTGTGTTGCATGTCTTTCTTATAAACAATAGATGGTCATCACCTTGGGCGCTGACAGTTACAGTCAGAATGCCACATTGGCTCTTGTTCTGTGACCAGATGCAACTAGTTCCGACTCAAATCTACTTCAGGACTTTGGAGTCCTTTATACAGCTCACAGTCAATATTGGATATGATATTAATAACGATGATAATACATCTGAAAACGAGTCTATTGATTTTACAGCTGAAAAATCGACTTGTCAGTGCTCTCTGGTGGACAAACTATGTAATAACAGTTTCTTCATTACCTCATGTTTTTTTAATTTCTAAAATGAGATAAAATCAGATGATACATCGTCCCAGACAGTTTATCAGATGGGCTCTACTTTAGAAAAAAAGTCGTCTTACATCACCTCAAGTCATATGCGAGCTAATCAACCTTTGTGGACAACAGACCTTGGCATCAATCCTCAGTGACTTTAATTACTCACCTTCTTGTGTAAGCAGGGTCATTCTTGTCCTCAGGCCACATTGAAGGGTAACTCCCAAAATTCAGCTCAACAGGAACCTAAATGTTAGTGGTTTCCTGTAAGATTGGGAAGCCCAAAAAAAAGAGGAATATACATGAATCAGAAAAGCATCACACTGTCATCAGTTGTAGTAAAAATAACAATGTACCAGCATGGGGTGCGTGATCATGCTTTCTCACTCTGTCCGCGTCTTGGACTTATGGAGGTACTTTTTTTTTTTTACACAAGCTTAAAGACGACAGATATATGTGGGAGGTCTGCGTTGAAAGGGTAATGTGAGACATTGTAGTTTATGGTGTGAACAGTTTGTGTGTGTGTGTACATTTGTCTCGTCATCCACATGAATCTTCAGGGAATCTAATAGAACAGAGAAGCATTTTATGAGCATTATTATTGTTATTTCAGATAGCATAGTCATTAAATAAAAACATGACCAGAACAATAATAACTGTCAACTAAGCTCGAGTAATCTGACCTCTGGATCTTGTGCGAGTTCACCTGTAAACGCTGCACTTGGCCGTGGTTCACAGCAGCCTGATAACAAAGCCCTACACTGCAACACAAATAGAATTAAAATAAAAAATAGTGTTTTATATTCAGGCTCATCAACTTTATTACATGCTATGAAAGTCCTAAATATCCGTTTTTTTTTTTTGTATCGCCAGGACGAGTAAATTCCTCAGTAGTAAGTAAAAATATGTTTTTAAACATATACATTTATATTTAACTTGACAAAATACCTTCCCCCGAGTTTGACAAGGCTCAGTGCAGATTAACATCCCAATCCCAAAGTGTGCAATGTTTTTGCAGTGTAGTGTTCGTATCCCAGCAGGAAGACTGAATGATGCAAATGTATTGTTTTAATGTACCAGGAAGTCTCCTTTTCCTTCCTTCCTCGGGCCTCTTTTTCTCTGGACTGACGTTATTTTCAATTCTCTCCATGGTGACGGATAATAAGCACAGATTCACACCTCACAAATGTTTCCTAATTAGCCCCGAGGCAAGAGGCCTCCAGGTTATACAGTTACCAAAGATACGTGCTGCAGCCAAGTGGAACGGATAAGTAACTGCAACAAAAAGATGAGACAAAGCTGTTTGTCTTCTCTTATTGACGGGGTAGTAACAGCAGAGATACATGATTTCATTTCATTCCAACCGTCATATTGATTTATAGTCCAGCCACTCCAATTCATTTAAAACAACTTTTATTTATTAAGTTTTTACAAATAAAGTAACAAATTTCATTGTATTGTAGCGCAAAGGTTTATTTTTAATATGAAGCTTGAACACTCTATACTTAGTGCAAAACATACCGTTAAAGGCTGCCGATGACTCTTTACATGTATTTTGTTGTTTTTTCTTTCATTCATTCATACATTGTGTTTTTTTTTAATCCCACCACTTTGTAAAATGTCAAACACGATACAGAAAAATGAAACCACTGAATTAAGAGTGGTGCCGCTACAGACATTAAAACTGCTGATAAGTGAGAATAATTGAGAGAAAAAAACAACCAAAAAAAAAAAAACAGAAGAGCATCAGAGAAACCAGAAAGATATTTAATTAACATGTTGAGAAAATGGTTTTCAGTAACAGAGAAACCGTTGCTGTGCTTGAGACTCGACATTATTCCACAGAAGCAAGCTACATGAAACAGCAAGGAGATGCACTGAATCCATCGGTGTGTGTGTTTGTGTGTCTGGATCTGTTGGTGCACTGAAAGGCTTTTTGTTGTTTTTTTACACGTGGGCACTTCTACAGTAAAAAAGCATAAAGGTTAGCAAGTGCTAACCACACAAAAACTGTGAAAACACAAACTGAGTTGAATGTGAGCAAGTTTGAAACAAGAATTGCTAAACTGTACGTGTGTGTCGCCAGAAAAGGAATCCTACCTTCCCACTTTAAATTCAGGAAACTTCACAATAAGTGTGCCCACACTGGATAACTCTCAAGCCTTTCACAGTAAGAGTCCTTACACCACAACTCAACAAAGGAAACTTCACAATAATTGCACCCACTGATGTTTAAATCTAGAGCTTTAAAACAAAAGAAAAGAAAAGGAGTCCTCCAGCAGGGGACATAACTGTCAAACCAAACTGTAACCTCAGAGCTCGACAGCGTACTGTAACTTTAAATAATATTGCATTGTAGCCACTGCACAATAGGCATTTCTTTCATAGTAATCATGTAGTAGAGACACAGCAAAATAGGATCAAACTTGTACTGTGGAAATCATTTGAGGCTCGAGCAACTGCAAAGTGGAAATCCAGGGTGATACCTGGCAACTAAAAGAGCTCCAGTGAGTAAAAGCAGTAAAAAATACACTGAATTTACTTTTTCTAAATTCTTTACCTCTGATGTTTTCACTCCACTGGCAAAAAAAGCGACATGGCACTGAGTGGGTGGCGTCGTCAAAGGTTTGACTTCTTTTGACAGATCCTGATAACCAGAACTAAAGCAAAGTGGCTCAATTAGTATTCACAGCTTCAACCAAACTTGCCTAGTAGTAAAAATGTTGCATTATTATTCATGAGAAACTGAAAATATCCCCAATAAATGAGCAAAAGCAATGTGTGTATTGTTTGTACAAAGTAACCTTTTCATGTTTTTAAGTGAATCCAGAACACTCATCTCCCAACAACAACAAAACTAAATGTTTTAAGTGAATGTCAAAGTTTGTACCAGATATGTTTCACCTGCACGGACAAATGAAAAGAGAAAAGAGACAGGGTGTCAAAGGCCTTGAATCTAAAAACCGCCATCATCACTTCCATCGTTTCAACCGTCATCACCACCAGCACAACCATCATAACCACCGCCGTGCTCTCAGTCATTCTCACCACCACCACCTCTACAGCTGTGACACGCAAATACGTCTAAATGCTTCAATGTTTGGCTTCGACGTTTCAGTGAGTAAAACCTGTTATTCCCCCCCAACGGTGCCGCTTCAGAAACCTACGGTGAGGATAGCCGTGAATGAGACAATATTCAGACCTTTTCTGCTTGATAGCAGCGATTCTCAGATGAGGAGGCATTCCCAACCAAATCTGTTGGAAAGACAGTAAAGTTCTGCTGGCTTTGTAAATGGGTTTTTTTGGATTATTGAATGATTAGATAGCCGACATCTTTCCTAATTGGATAACAAAGGTTTACATGAAGTATGAGTGATGGGTTCCGACATGAAAACACTAGTTCATGCCAGCGTTTGGACAGTTTTGGTTATTTTACTGGAGAGGTTTCTGTATTTCCGTGTTCTCTTCTCGGCTCAGTTGGGTCGCACCAATCAGGATTCAGCAACCGTTGACTCAGAATCCGATGGTAGCTACTCACACCATTTTACAAGCCAACTGGACTTTTGGTAAAAACTAAATCTACACTAGAGATGCATCAACTTTAGTTCACTGTATCAATGTGTCTTCTGCTGACTTTATGCTGCACCTGTGCCTCTAAAAGACAGAGTGGTCCAAGCTTCAAACACAACCTTCAACAACTCCCTCCTTCAAACTGAAAACAAGACATTCCTGCCCACTTCTCCCCTCAATATCTACATTTAAAACCCTGAAAATAAAAATGTCACTGAACACCTCTAATGTTCCCTCCATCTTTCATCATGTTGGTGGTGTAACGGGCCTCGGATACAGTCGGGCCTCGTGTGAAGCACAGCAACGGGCCTCACTCCACAGAAACACGGACTTCAAATGGTGGCCCTTTTTCTATCTTAAGTGGACAATCTCACTGGTTTGTTTTGAGTTGGGGTCAATTCATCTCTCTATCAATTCAAAGAGATAAGTTGGGGAACAACTCTTGCGTTTTGGGGAGAACACACTCAATTAGCTGAAACCGAAAAGAATGAACCACAAACCAGCAGAAGAGCGCACACACACACACACACACACACACACACACACAGTAGCAGCTAACAGCAGCCATTAATACTGCATCCGCACCAATCTACTGCATTGCCGGCTCCACTCACACCAGGTCCAATCATCACCACTGTCTACAAAGTGACACCCCCGAAAAAAAACAAAAACAACTCTCCACACATGCTGTCGAGTGTGCTTACTTTAACCCCAAGTCCTCAACCCCAAAAGAAACAAGCAACAGGAAGGATGCAAGGCACTAGTAAGTTCCTCCAGTGTTCCCCGGAGGCTCTGGGGGGGGGGGGGGGGGGGGGGGGGGGGAAAAAAAAAAAAAAAAACAGTTTTTTTTTTTTTTTTTTCTTTTCTTCAAGTACATACAAATGGACACCATTGGTTTATACATTCACATTCATCTAACAAAAACAGGGACAAAAGGGAAGAGGAGGGCGATTTAAAGTGTCTGATATACAAGTACTGGATTAAGAAAAAAAAATAGCTAGCATTACTTTATTATCTAAATATCAACTATCCTGCCGGTCACTAATAATCAGGCTTGGAGGTCAGTTTCGACTTTCAATTCAATCAGTAATAAAAAAGGAACCGACACTGCGGTTGATTAGCTGTTGGTAAGGCGTTTGTTTCAGAGCGAGTCCTCCGTCACAGAGTGTGAGGACGATTACTGAACAGAGGCGTTCTCAATCTTCACATCTCTGAGAATCCATTCGCTGAAAGCAGTGAATTGAAAGTGAAAGGACCCCGAACCGTTTCTCTGTAAGCTTTTTAAATGTTTTTTATTTGTGATATTTCACCCTAAAAGTTATGTCGCCCAACAACATTTGCTAATAATAAAGAATAATCACAGTGTCTCCACATCGTACACCGATGTGCGCGTATAACAGGTCCATCAACAGAACACGTTTTTGTTTCTTTTTAAATAGAATAATTATCATTAACAACAATGTACATTGCAATCATTTCAACACAAATGTTGAAACCACCCTAATGACACAAAGAACTGAGGCATTAGTCTGCGAGTGTCTGTTAAACGGCTGCTACGCCTCCAACAATGTGTGTGTATTTACACAAGTCTGGCTGTGTATGCAGGGGTGTGTATTTATGTGAATGTCGTGTATTATGTGTGTGTGTGTGTGTGTGTGTGTGTGTCAAGATTGCTAGCTGGGGGCAGCAAGCAGAACAAACCCAACAAAACAAAACCAAAATAAAACAACAAAATGGAATCATCATGGCTGACATTCTAAAAAATAAACAGAGACACAAACTGTACAGGGACTCTGATATTATTCTGTTAACAAGGCCACTTTTTCACGTTGAGTTCTCTCATGTTTGGGCTTTTTTTTTTGTTTCTCTAAAAGGTTTCTGCTGTTATTGCTTCAAATGGCAACAGAGAGGCGGAGAGAGGGATGGAGGGAGAGGTGGAGTCGTGACGGTGAAGAGGCGCTTGATGTGCAGAGGCATCTGTCCGGTCCGTTCGGTACTTCAGTCGCGGCGCACACACAGCCAGTGTGCTGCTAAAGCAAGCAGTGGACTGGGAAACAGACGAGGTGTTTGACTATTATTTAATGCAAACATTCTCTCGCTGCTCTCCTTCTTCCTCCACCGTTTTTTTTTTTTCTCCATCTCTCTCCGTCTGTTTGAACGGCTCGTCAGAACAAGGGAGGAACAAGACACAGAAGGTAACAGAGGAGTAGCTGTCACGACTTTTCCTCAAGCCGACGAATCAAAACACCACCGAGTGCCGGACTGCATCGACTCTGAACCAGGCTCAGTTTGAGGCGTTTTGATTTCTCAATGTGTTTGATTTGTTCTTGATTTTCTTTTGTGCTTTGAATTGAGAAAACATTTCCAAATTCTGAATACTGAAGAAAAAACACTTCCTAAACACCCTGAACATCTCTCAATGAGGCTCTTATCTGAAATTAAAGCTTTTACTGCCGCTATGTGCCTCCGTCCTTTAAAGCATACATTTAAGGGATGCAAACAGCTGGATGAAACCCGGCCAGTGCTCCATTTCAGAGCCTCTTGTGCATCGTTTGATGTCGACACTGAACACTTAACGCGATGGCCAGCCATGCTCCCCTCTGCATCCACCAGTTATCTCTTTTCTGTATTAAATTTGGAAAAACTGCATGTTTGCATGTTACCGTTGTCTTTAAGTGCTTGAGATTATCTTGATACTCAGCATGAAATGGAACAAGTGTGACCGAGCCATGAGTGCGCATACACAACACCTCACACACCAACAGTAATTAACGCCAATCCGGCACCCTGTCAAAACCTCTTTGGCCTTTTAACATTGCACTCATGAGTCTTCTCCGTTACCCTTGAGCATTTGGCTTTCTGCCACAAACCCACAGTCAAACAGAGTGACTGCATTTGTGTCTGTGACAGCTTCTCACACACAGACATGGATGGATGCAGAGGTGAGACGCATCACACAAACTTTGGCGAGTTGGCCTCAACGCACTCCTGATTTCTTTGCTCCTCTTCATTTCCTTTTTTTCTCTTTTCTATTCTTGGAACGGGTCAGCTTCTGTCACTTCAAACTCCTCGCTCTCCACGCTCCTCCAGTTCTTCCATCCTCCCCAGCCGATCAAGCCCGCAACACTCTCTCCACACCAGTCCGGTCCAGTCAGGCCGTGATTCAAACCAGCCCTCTCCCCCAGTCCTACGTGGTCCTCATGTTGGGTCCTCCTGGGTTGCTGACTGACTTGTGGAGAGAGTTGGTCAGATGGAAAGCCTGGTGGGGCCCCTGCCCGGGAATCTGGCCCTGTCCACCAACCGTGGTGGGGTAGGGGCCCAGCGGCTGGGAGGTGCTGACCAGTAGAGGCCCAGGCTGTGTTGGGGCCTGGTTTGGGTTTGACAGGCCGTGAGCCGGACCGGACCATTGAGCGCTGTAGGCGGCAGTGGGAGTGTAGTGGCTGAACTGGGGAGGTTGGGGTTGAGGTGGGGCGGAGGAGGCAGGGGGGTGGCACAGGGAGCCCTTGCGGGGGGCCAGAGAGGTAGCAGTGTTGGAGTTTGTAGAGAGGTGGGCTGAACCTCCAATGCTGCTGGGACACAGCTGGCTGGGAGCAGAGAACTTCCTGCCCAGACTGGCTGACTGGATGACCTGGAGAGATGGACACTTTACATTTTAGACTTGCTCGGTCAAGCAGATGTTTATTTTTCAAAGACCTTTCCAATAATCTTATTCTCATTTGGTAGATATCCCTTAAGGAATAATTATCAGACTAAGACACAAATTCAACACTATTTTAAAAATGTAAATTTGGAAAACATGCATCTCGGGGAACTAACCTCGTAGCTATGTCCCTGTACTGGGGCCTGCTGCAGCTGTTTGGCACTCCTCTTCCCCTGAAAAAAAGTTAGTTCAGTTTACTCATCTGTGCATTACTTTATCAAACACACATTTATTTCTCCTGAAGGATCACTATATAAAGACAGCGGGAGAGTTTGAGGCCCTCGTGTTTCACATTTCTTAAAAAGCAGCCTGGAACAATCTACTACTGGATGCTCCCAGAGCTTGGAAGACTTAAGCATTTGCCGTCTTTGTCCTTCAGCTTTGAACTGGTCACTAGAATGTGTGAGTCATTGCTGAAGAAACATTTTGTGTGTCAAATAAATTGAACCATAAAACGGCAGTAAACCTGTGAGAGGTTCATGGCATCTCTGGCCCAGTTGTCCACCAGTTTATGGAGGTCATCGGTGAAGGTTCCTTTCCTCTGGTGGGGGGCTGACATGTTTGGGGGCAGACACTGAGAACCCCCCTGGCTGTGACCCAAAGCGCCTGAACCGCTCACTGCATTGGTGCTATTAGTCCCTGTGGAGGGAGGTGGAGAGAGAGGAGGAGAAGAGCAAAGGATGTGAGATATTTGTTCAAAATAGAAGATGACAATTGATGTTATCTGAATGAATGAGAATGCACTTCCTGTCTTGACCATGAAAAAAAAAGGGCGTTGCATGGTCGGGACAGAGTTTTTAGGGTAGGTCAGCATGTCGACATGTTCGTTATATTGTTTAGTTGTAATGGTAGAAATAATGATACTAGAGCAGCATATTAAAACACACCATGGACACTTTTATGTGTCCAAAACTAAGCCCATTTCAGAATATGAAACATGGCGTTCTCTCAAGAGTCCCATTGCTTCGGGTTAGTGGTACACTGGGTAACCTTTAAAGCTGACATGCCCAGCAGCAGCATTCACCCTCAAGACGCTCCAACAAACAAGAATCAATGCTGAGGCAGGCCTGCTGTCGATCACAGTTTCCCCGTGTATCGCTGATCTCGTGTCTGTTTGACCATAAGATGGCACTCAAGCATCAAACATTAGGATTAATAGGATTTGCTATTGTGACTTTACTCATGAATAATGAATACCACATAATAATTCCCCCTGTATGTAGTTTCTTTGTCATCATTCCTTTACTATAGCTTTAATCCAGGCTGTAATCACACTACACAGATCTGATTGTGTCAGATATTACACGAGAAAAGAGATAATATGCAGGGATTACAGTTGGTCTGACAGAAAACTGGCATGTCATGCTAAATAAAATGGAGGAAAATAAGAATGAGGAGACGCTGAGTCATGACTGACTGCAGCAGAATGGAATTCTGGGCAATGTAGTCAAGACCACAATTTATGACGAGGGAGGAGAGGAAAAGGGAGCGGACAGAGTAGCGAACAGCTGTTCAGATGTGCTAGTGTGTGTTTGAACATGTGTGCGTGTGTGTGTGTGTGAGAGCTTGCAGGTGCATGCACTGTCAGCTTGAATCTGTGATGGCTGGTCAATTCAGTCATTTCAGTCTTCAAAGTGGGTGTCAAAACGTCTACATTGAAAATACAACGTTTCAGTAGCTGAAATAACTGAATCGAACTGATCTCAAATCTGGCAGAGGATCAAAGTGGGAATCTAAAGGACATTAGAGAGCAGGAGGAAGCATGGGAGAGCAAGTGCAAGGATGGAAGAGGACATCGATGGAGGGAGGAAAGACCAAAAAGAGAGATAATTACTACAGAGCTGGTTGCAGGGGCAGACTTTTTTCACCATCTTCCCTGTGCGGCCGGAAGACAACGATTGGAGGATTGGGAGAGAGTCAGAGTTAAACCACAACACCCGACAACCAAACACAATGCATCCAAGTAGGATTATTTGAACTTGTCAATAAACAACACGTTGGGGGTTGAGTTGCCCAAAAACATCTTTACACTGAGCCCAGTACCTGTAACACAGTGCCCTGTGAAGCATTCGTGTGCAGTTTTAGATGTATAAAATGGTGAGCGTTCTGTACTCTGCACTGTGAGAAAGGTTGACCACAGATGTTTGTCTTTAGACAATGCCAAAGATATGAAGACAACCTTCTGAGGAAGTGCAGACACCAACTTTAAGCCCACTTACTGCAGCAACAACAGAGCAGTTAATACTGGATTATTAATATTTTGTAACCAAAGTTCTTGGTTATAATACTTGTGTTTAACAGCAAATCAAAACTGAGTTTTTGCCTCAAAGTCTTGTCTGTGTACTGTGGCGTGAAGACGATTTTGATAACCAACCCCCGGTTCTCATGTGATTCCGAGTCCTCTCTACAGCTCAAAGGGCCGTTCCAGATCTGGGTCCAAATTAAGATTCATATTTATCAAAGCACCCTGTTTCCAGACCTCCGAGTTGCTGCACACGTCTCTGATTTGGCCATTTAAAAAGAATGAGGTGAAACAAAATGCCTTGTTGTCAGGATCATTTACATGAATGATCAAGTCAATGCAATGTTTTCTTCCTCTTTGCGAACAGGAAGACCCAGGTCTGTCTCTTTCCCTTCCTGGCTGTGCAGTGACAGGGAACAGGTGAGGGAGAGAGGGGTGAGGAAAGGGAGTGAGGGAAAGGAGTAAGGCAGAGAGAGAAAGGGTTTGAGCTGCAGAGGGTTCAGAAGCATTCATAAACATGTCTTCATGATGCACATAAACTTTACCCAAGACTACATATTCTGATTATAATATTACTTAGGACAAAGAAAAGAGATGATCACAAAATAAAGAGACTGATGCACAGAACTGTGCTTAAACAAATGAGTCATTGCAATTAACCAAGTTTGATCAAAAGAAATAATAAATCTATTAAAAACTGTACGGCACAAATCTCAAGTCATCAGGTGTCCACTTGTCTTTCCTCGTTAGTCTGCTTGTTTTCACAGAAGGAAAAGTTAGAAATGGAAGCAGTCAGGATTTGAAATTCAGACGGACGCACAAACAAAACCGCATCATCGATTTCTAACTTAGGACTAGAGATGAAACGCTCCTTATCAAGCTAGTTGTCGTGGAGAATTATCTCATTGGCTAAAATGTGAACATGCTGCACAATGAAGCAATTTGAAAGAATTTGCATTTTAGCTGCATTTTTTTTATTTCCCAGGGACCTAACTTGTTTCATGCAATCTGGTTACATTGCACTCATTTGTGACTGACTTTAAAAAAAAGTTGAACTGTAAACAGATGCACCAGTTGCTCTTCTCTCTTTATTACACAGCAATTACTCAAATAGTGTGTATTTAACTGCACTTGATGTTACCAGCAGTACCTCTGTTCGTCGCCAAATCAACCAGGACCGATATCGTAAGGATTACAACGACTTCCCAGTCACTAATGTAAGTTCCATGTCATAGAACCTCACAGTTGCTTTACTGTGTTTTGGCTGGTAAATTCCACATGGCCTCTAGAAACAAACAGGTCTTGCTGAAAATGGCAGTGCAATTTGTTGACTGCCTTTTAAAGTATTACTTTTAGACAGGTTTGCTGAGTCCTTTCTATCAATTCTGATGCTTATTATTTTGTTTTTGGCAATGCTGTTATTCTCTGCAGCTAAAAGTGCACAAGTTAGGGAATGACCTGTTTGTCAAGGACGACTATGTCAAAGGAAAGACAGGAAGAAAGAATACTGAGAGAGTGGAATGAAAAGTATTTTAAAATGTAAGTGAAGATGACTATGGGAAGTTTTGGGATGTTTGTCATTAGGCTAACTTTCTGTATCCTGCAGCAAGCTCTTATCTCTAATTTTCCCTTGTTCCTCTGTATCTTTATTTTCTTGTGGCTGTGCCAGCAAATTGTACTTAAAGGAGCAACATTGTGCAGATGTTCTTTCATGTTTTCAGAAAGAAATTTAGTTTGGCTGGTAATTTTGAGCAGATAACTTGAATCCCAACTGAGGCAGTGAGACAGCTCTCAGGTTTAAAAGTATTAGCATGCATGCATATTTTCTATTAATGCCTGAGAAGCTGAATTTATTGGAGACACCAGTTTTCTGCAGGACACTTGTGATATCACAAGCAGAGGGTCTTCCTCCATCAAAGAAGGAAACCCACGGGAAGACAGGACGACTGTGACTTGACAGATATAGGAGTCCAAAAACAAGAACAAAAGTAAGTAAGGACAACGGGTAAAAAGAGAAGAGCAAAGAAATAAAGCGTTACACACAAAGAGCCAAGCAGGGCGTACTCAGAAAGCGCGTCCTCCTGCCGCCAGGCTTGAAGGCCAAACGCTCCGAACCCCAGCTGAACTTTACACAGCCTGAAGAGAGGGAGGAGGGAAGAGAGGAAAGGAGAGTGCAAAGAAGAGAGGGGAGACCAAGAGAAAGGTAGAGGTGAAGATGATAAAGGGAGAGAAAATGAGGAGAGCAACAAAAAGACAAAGAAAAACAGGGACATAGAGACAGACAGGACGTACGTAAGACAAGAATATAGAAGAGAAGGAAGGAGAGAGACAGGTGAAGGAATACAAAGGAAGAATGTAACAGTCAGTTAGCCATCACACTGCTTTACACAGAGCGAGAAACAGATGGAGAAAGATGTGATTTGTGAGCGAGTGAAGACAAACCAACTGCGTGCATTTATGCAAAGTATTTCTAATGTTGTGGGGAAGCTCGTGAGGCCTGCTGCAGACTGCGTGCCTACCTGGGGTGGGAGCACAGAGGCTGGGCAGAGAGAGCGCCGCCTCGCTGGTGTAGGCCGAACACAGGTTGTTGCTGGAGGCAGAGGGTTTGAGTGGCTGGAGCAGAGTACTGCTGCACGAATCGGCTAATCCTCCGGGGGTTAACAGAGCCAGCTGGCCGGGGTACATGGCGGGGACGCTCTGGGCGGATAAAGTGCTGCCTGGAGACAGCACAAGGCATGGGCAGGAGAGGACAGGGCAGTAACGACACACCGGAGCGACCAGAGACACACAAACACAAAGATAATGGACAAATAGGACACCAGTCACCGTAGACATTTACATAGACACACCCCCACACACACAAGCACACAAAGAGAGACAGATGGTGAAAGCAGTCAGAAATGTTCAAGCTTTGACCCTGCACCAGCGTGTAACCAAGCACATCAACACACACAACACACACGTGCACATGCATGCATAAACAGAGAGACAGTGTAACATTAGGGTAAACGTCTTTTGACCATCCTGGCTGAAGTTTAGGACTAAAGATGTCAGTTTAACTAAATGTCAAAAAATTACACATCGTCTCACTTTGGTCTGTTGGTATCTAGCTAGAATGATATTTTTTGGTTTAATTTGTCCAGGTTTTAGTGAGATGAGTGGAATCTCATTTGTATTGCCCAAAACATTCAGAAATGTGATTTAAACTAGGTCAACAGTCTACAGCTATGTGACATTGGACATTCTACGGGTAAAGCATTGCTTGAGCTAAATGCTAACGTCAACATGCTACCATACTCACTCTTCCAATGTTAACATGCTGATGTCGATCAGGTAATGTTTAACATATTCGTTTAGCATGCTAACATTTGCTAATCAGCACTAAACAGTCGAGGATGATGTCGTTGGTTTTGCAGGTTTTGTCATAAACGAAAGTCTTGGACAAATGTGTCAATGTCAACTATTTTCAGTTCTCTTTCTGAAAAGACATGCTGCTGTTATATCTGGTGCTGTGAGCAACATACACCAACTCTTATGTACCACCATTGTGTCGGGGTGGAGGCAGAAATCTTAAAGATGAATATCTCAAATCCTGGACAAATAAAACCAACCACAGCATGGCTAGTAACCACTAGAAATAAGCAACAAATCATGCTTCTCTGAGCTTTGGGTGAACCAACTCTTCAACATAAATGTTTAAACAAGAGCCTACCTGGCTGTAACGGACTCTTGCTGCTGTGCATGGAGCTGGTTCTGGATAATTTGGAGGATTTGCTTTTGGAAGGACGTCTCCTCCTGCCAGTCGAGCCTAAAACTGGAGGGACCTACACAGAGTACCAGGAAAGGGGGGTGACTTGCTATATACCGTACGAGATACCGTTTGTAGTGTTCGGACAGATGCAGCCAGTGTGAGTTACCTTTCCCAGCTTGGTAAAGAGACCGTCTATTTCCTCCTTCTGGCGGGAGTGCAGGGCCTGAATCTCACGCATGTGCCTGGTGGTAGAAAGAGGGAATGAAAAATATATATGAGGAATTTGACAAGCAAAAGAAAGACAATGAGAGCGAGGAAGCGAGGAGAGAGGAGGAGGGCCAAGTGTTCAAGGAAGAACATTCATGGAACGTGGGTGGTTAACCTCATTCTTGAGGGTGAGGAAAGAGGAAGAGGAGGAAAGAGGAAGCAGAGCACAGCCTTCTATTATTGAGGGGCACATAAATAGAAGACAGAAGAAAACAAAATCTAGTTTATTTCAAAGCAGTTCAACACTAAATAAGAGGTGATGGAAGGTGAAAGAGGAGAGGGTTGATGGAATAACAGAACTGTCTTTTCTCAGAGATGTTTGGGAAGAGAGGATGGGATGACTTACTTTTCTCTGAGGTGGCTGACTTCCAGTTTAAAGTCTTCATCCTCAAATTCGGAGTCGTTGTCACTGCTGATGTAGGAGTTATTAAAGGAGTTGTTGTTCAGACTGGGCAGCGAGGCTTTAAGAGGAGAGTCTGGACTCAAAAACTGCCCATAATTACTGGGACCATTAGCAGCCTGGGCAGCGGGTGGAGGCGTCTGCCTGGACTCGAGGCTCTGCTCCTGGGCACGACTGACTGAGAATCTACCAACACGGGCCTCTGGGTTGGTGGTAACCTGAAATAAAAGAACAAAATATTCAATGAAATAATGAATGAATGGATAGTGGGACAAACAAAGGAACCCCCTCACCCATTACACTACTAGATCAAAAACAGGAAACAGGAAATACCTGGAAGCGTCCGATGGTCGTGGTGGGCTTAGGAGAGGGGCAGGGTGAGGTGAGGGGGGAGGGGTGGTGTGACCCTCCCAGAGTCCGCTGGGGGAGTCCGTCCACAACATCTCCTCCTTGTCCTCCTCCCCCTCTCAGAGGAGACGAGGAATCCTTGTGCAGTGTATTCTCCGGGCTGGAGAGACTGGAGGAAGACGACGAGGAAGAGGACGAGCAGGAGGAGGGGGTGGAGGAAGATTCAGTGCACACTGGTCGTTGGACAGGAGGAGCTTCGGTAGCCAACGAGACCTAATCGGCGACAGGAGTCAGGGAAAGGGGACAATGCAACAGATACAACTTAATATCCACAAATTCAGGCAACCTGAAATTAAAGGTTTATAACAGACCTCTAACAACATTCATTATGTCTCCCTTAGACCCTTTGAAAAGGAAATGCGTAGATATTCATGAATGGTCTGTAGTGTAGAGTAATCTTACCTGAAATCTTCCCAGTTTGATTCCACCTGAAGGATGAGGAGGACCAGAAGACGACCCAGTTGCTTCCTCCAGAGAGAAGGGAACTTAAAGACAGATGTTCAAAATATTAGACGGACAGATAAACAGCAGCTATAGAGACCGACACATCGATTTCTATACATACTTGGTTGTCCCGCTGAAGGTATGCCACTGTGAGACTGTAAGAGAAGAAAGTGAGTTAGTACTGAGCAGTGTCAGTGAAATACAATGCAAGTATGAGTAATATCCAAACGTGTGTGTGTGTGCGCGTGTGTTTACCTGTGTGTGTGTGGTGACAGGAACGGTCTCTGGGCTCAGTGCTCTCCTCAACTGAGCATCCAGGTCCTCCAGAGGCTGCTGGGACTGGAAGAAGACAGATATACGATTAGACTTAGACACACAGACACACACACACACACACACACACCCACACACAAGCAAACACACCCAGGATCGGCCACTGAAGTTGATTAGCGATACAAGCACATATCAGCCAAAAGCACACATGTATGGTTACTAGAGCTGAACCATAATTCACCATTATGTTTTATTGCCATTCAGAAGATATGAGTGGGTGTACATTTTAGAAGCCAGCGCATTGTAAAAGGCATTATCCCTATTCATCAGATCCCTCTTCTGTGCCAACACTCCCACACACAATCAGGTAAGGTGACGTAGAAGGCATGCACGGTATTCTCCCGAGCATTTTAACTGCAATTAAAAAAATAAATCATTAAAATTAAAATGATCTCAATCAAACAGGACACGTCTCGCCCATGAGAGTTAGGTAAGGGATGAGAAGTGAATGTCAGACATTTCATGAAAGAGCTACAAGTCATATCTCACTACACACTGTACAGTTTATTGTGATGTGTTCTTAGTTGTTTAGGATGTAAAAGTAAGATTTATGATGGAGATGAAACATAACGTCTGAGGTCTCATGTTTCCAAAGCAGAAGCACTATTCATACACAGCAGATACAGCACAACTGTAATCACATGCAGTACAGGCTCAGTTGCATACAGTGTTGCATTGCATTGGAAAATAAAAATGAGCAAAAAACAAACAAACACCTGTATTAGACAAGGTCCAGGGAAGGACGGCAGGAGTTCTGAAGTAGGAGAACTGGCCTAATCCCAGAGAAGGAGAGTCGATGAAAAGACAGAGTGGGAGAAATGAGAAAAAAGGTTTGAAGAGGAGGTTTAAAAATAGCATTCGTTGTGGAGAATGTTAAAAGAAATTTGCATGCAAGATGAATTGTAAGGAAAGTAAGTAGAAACATCTTCAAACACCTATCATTTTTAAAGAATAAATAATCTGCGGCTTCTTAACCTTTAAAAGTGTAGTACTGTAAATTAACTGGGCAGTTTCTCTTCAAAACACTGGTCTGATAGCTGACCACAGAATTAAGTAACCAACACAACGACTAGTGCTTTAACTATATCAAAATAACTAGTATTGCCATCAACAGCTAGACTGGCTCACTTACCGGTGCCCTGGATAGAGAGGGTTTGGATGGAGTGGTCTGGCCAAAGGATGAGGCAGGGAGGACTGTAGAAACTGAAAAAATAAAGTCAGTAAGCAGCATTATTAAAACACATGTTAACTGACCTGACATACAAACATATTAATCTACATACCAATCGGTGCAGGGGTGGAGATAGGTGTTCCAGGGCCCTGGATGGGAAGAGGTGACCCAAGTGACAGGCTGCAGGGGGGCTGAGGAGGATTGGCTGGCTGACTGGAGCAAGGTGTGGTGACAGATGTGCTGGAGGCAGAGCAGGGGCCCAATGGAGACGAGGTACCTGCCACAGGGGGTCCAGAGGCAGGGTCAGCAGCTAGGATGTCTCCCTGGGTAGCTGGCGCCCCTCCACCGAGATCCATGAAGAGAGAGCGCAGCTTCTTCTCCAGAGCTTGGATGTCGTCCGGTTTGCCTTGTGACTCAGCGAATGCCTCACACCTGAGAAAAATATCAAGAAATGTTTGGCAACTCTGCTCAAGTCCTAATAAATAAATAAATTAAGGAGACTAAATAAAGACACATCGTCCATCTCTCACCTTGCATCGCATTCCCCGCAGTGTGTGTGCGTCTGCCCAGGCAGGGCCGCCGTCTGCGGCTGGGAGTGTACCGAGGTCGGTTGGACTGAGGGAACACTGGTGGTCACCGGCTGAAGCCCCACAGCAGAGGAGGAGGAGGAGGGGGGAGAGTGGATGGGGTGTGAGGCGGCAGAGGGAGCGAGCTGGGGGCCAGGGATGGCAGTGGTGGGGATGACAGAGGAGGAGAGGGAAGCGGTAGAGGAGGAGGGGGGAGAGACTGACGGATGATCGGAGGAGACTTCACCGGGTGGAAGAGTGGAGGAAGGAGGAGAGGTTACAAGAGGAAGAGCCTGGGCGGGAGGAGGGGTGGTGAGCATTGTTGGGGGGATGCTGGAGATGCTGGCAGGTGGTAAAGTGGAGGGTACTGAAGTAGCAATGACAGCAGGGACAGTTTGAGACTGAGGCTGGGTGAAAACCTGGGGCTGAATTTGTGCTTGCCCCTGGACCTGCACCTGTCCTTGGGGCTGGGACACAGCCTGTATCCCTGGCTGTGGTAGTACCTGTGACTGAAGGATGGACTGATTCACCACAGTAGGAGGAGGGGAGGAAGAGGAACAAGGGGGGCTGAGACCGACAGCGGGTTTGGAGGAGGAGGAGGAAGGGGGAGGAAGAGAGGCATCCGGGGCCTGCTCCTGTGCCTGGTTCAAATTAGAAGGGACAAGTCCAGCCGTAGCATCCACGGTAGGAGTGACTACGCTAGACTGTGAAGGGAGAGACGCTGCTGCAGGCTGCTGAAGAGGATGGGTGGAGTGGATTAAAGCTGGGGCGGTGCTGGGTCCGGCATCAAACTGGTTCCGTCTGAGCTCAGAGAAGGCCTGTTGTAAGCTGATTGCTCCAGCAGAGTGGGACAACCCCAACCCTTGGGCCGCAGCCTGAGATGGAGCTGAAGCTGGAGGAACTGGAAAAAAAGAAACACTGTTTTAGTCCCAAAAGTCCTTCGTGTTCACTTTAAGATCTTTGACCTATCTGTACTTGTACATTTTCATTGTTTGAAATTGGGTGTATTTTTCCACATAGGACAGGTCATATGTACATATGTTCAACTTTCAAAGGAGACAAAGGTACAGTAGTTAAAGGGGAACTTCACTCCAACAATGTTATAGGGGTGCTATACTAACTCAGTGGAATACTCTTTTGAAGGGAAAATTGACAGTCTTGTGACCGTTAATTCAGTGACTGTCTATTTGGTTTGTTAAAAAATGTTCAGGTATAGATAGACATGTTTCAGCATGAATCAAGGTCAGAGTGTGGAGGGGGGGGGATGGTTAACCACTTATAAGTTTGGCTACCTTCAGGCTCGTGGTCCTGATTGGATTTGTCGTTTGGTCCCCTTTGGATTATTCAGAAATTTGGGAAGGACTAAGAATAATTAAACATTTTGTATTCCAATGTTCTACTAAAGGATCCTATTGTATCAAATCAAATGAATGTCATTGTCTTATTACATTAAAGCGTAATCTGATGAGTGTGTGAGTACACTGTCATTTAGTGCACAATTGTGTGCGAGTGTTAGTTAAAGTTAAATTGAAGAAAAACAGGGCAACCTGGGTCTTAATTTAGTATTTCTATTTTTCCCAATCATTATAATCTGGAAGTCCAACAAGTAAGTACTTAGTGGTCATAAATTGACAGGTTTTAAACAAATCCTTCCTTTGAAAAAGAAACAGCGTGAACTGTTTGTGTGACACACACACACACACACACACACACACACAGCCCTGACCTATTTCAACAGGAGGTGCACGGGCAGGAGAAGGAGATGAGGGAAACATTTGTTCCTTCAGCCTGGCTTCAGGTACGGGGCTGACGATGAACCTCCGACCTGCTGAATGGACCACTTGTGCGGTTGCACTGGGAGGGATGTCTGGAGAGAGATGAACGTCAAAACATACCATTGTTATTGGTTAATCTCCGGGAGAACAATATGCAAACTGCTATTCTTTTCTACAGCTAACCCGCTAAATAAGCAACAGGAAGCTTTGTGGATACAAAATAGACGCTTCACAGAGAAAGTACGGAAAATCTCTGTGTGAATATTCTGTCTGTGGGAATTTCATGCTGTGCTCAAGGAAACACCTGCAGTGGGAATGCTTGACACAGATGATTACAGTTGCCACCCTGTTGCTCGACTGGCACTTAAACCGGTGCATGTTGTTATTCCAATTCTTTTTATTGTGTTCGTTTTACCTGGCATGGGGACAGATATGGCAGGAATCTGCTGCGCCATATCACCTGCCATCTGTAGATCAACAACACAACATGAAATAAACACTGAAAGATAGATGGTGTAAAAGAGATAAGAGGTGTACTGTACAGTGTGTATATTAGCAACTATTTTAGCAATTTGTCTATCAAGAAGTCCAGCGACCCCAAAAAAACAAAGAAACACACAAAAAAAAACACAAAGAGAGAAAGAAATATAGACTATGAGCGCTGTATTTACCTGGCTGTTTGTGTCTCTCTCCAGACCCTTCTCATCTGCGTTCTCTATCACCTCTCGGACCTGCTCAATGAATGACTCCCTCTCACTCTCCAGGATGAACTCACTCTGGACCTAATGTGATAAAAATGTGTGTTTGTAATATGTGACAGAAACAAAGCTGGTTTGTACTTCCTATGCCAGTGCGTGGCCACTGAGGTATAATTTTGCTCTGTGTGGGAACCTGATGATTACTCAATGAAAGGACAAGAGCACAGCAATTATGTGTACTTCAGTGGTTTTGGGTGACAACGAGTAGATGGCACGCATACTGGCATGTGAAGCATATTCCAGCCTTTTAAAGGAGGTATTCAGGTATTATGATGGAATATGATGGTGTGTGTGTACCATGATCTGGGCGATCTCTTCAGGGTTGTCTCCATCCAGGTCAAATCTGAAAGTCACCATCTTCCTATTGTGGGTCTCCAGCTGACACTCCGCTACCCTGTCTCCTCGGTTGGAAATCTACACTCGCACACACGCATACATGAAGAAAAAAAATCAATCAGAAATGGAAGACTGAATGTAAACAGATAAGTATCTCTCATAGATGTTTCTCATTACATATATTGAAACTCGTAACTCTGTAACAACCAATAAAATACCAACAGTGGTACAGTGCAAAAGAGGATTTATCGTTTCACTATGAGTTTATAGGATTTATAGGACGTGTTATTACATTGAGAACATGGAGTTTCGCCTTTGAGATCTTCTCATGGCGCGATCGGCTTCGCACAGAGCGCCTCTGATGTCGCTTGGTGGAGCGCCCTTCATGGCGGCCTCCTCCTCCCTCGTTGCCGTCACTCAGACCTGAAGTCTCAGAGTGGCCGCTGAGGTACAGAGGTCATATTTAATAAGAGACAAAGAGGTAAATAGTGAGCGACAACATCAAAAAAATGAAATGTGATGGAAAATATTTGAGCACTTCAGACATTGTGTGTGCTTGTTAACGCATTTATTACCTTTCTATAGATGAGAGCACTTGAGGTGGCTGTAGTTGGGACTGGGACAGCTCTGAAGACTGAGAGGCAGACTGAAACACACACACACACACACACACACACACACACACACACACACACACA